CAGCTTTTTGTTTTTATAAAAACAATTCTTAGTAGCTGTGTGGGTAACCTTCAACGTTTTTGGGGGATTCAGAATCCTGCCATAATTGGAAGGGTTAACCTTTTCTTCGGCCCAGGGTACTCCGCAACGGTAGCCGAAAGATATAAGGATTAGGGTTTGGGGTTTATGCGGCTGATAGGGCTTCTAGGGTCTATAGGGTTTTATTAGTAGAAACCAGAGTAGGCCCTTATTCCATTTCGGGTTTAGGTTCCCTTATCAGTCCCTTTAAGCCAAACAGGGTATATACGTACCCTTTTTATTCCTGGGTGACTCTTGGGTCTGGAGATTCTGCAAATGTCCAAGTAAAAGCTCCCGTTTCTCCGGGTTTCGTCGAAGTGCCCTACCTCCAACCCCAACCGATGTTGTTGCACATGGGGGCTCGAGGCACGAGGCTTTCGGACTTCCTCAACGCGACACTAAACTCTCTACCCGAAACCCTGCAAAAAGGAGGTTTCAAACCGGACTGCTACCCCACTGCTACCCCACCACCCCTCCCCCTCCCCAACCCCCCGAGCCCTGCACCATCCTGTTTCGTCAAGCGCGCCAGCCCACCAGACTCAAAACGGACAGAACAGACACGGAGAGTAATATCGATCTCATCATTTCAGAGTCTTATAACAGCCCTGAATAGGGAATATAGTACCCACTGGGAAATCTGCATTAAGGACTTTTAGTATAAGGCGGAACATCCCAACCTGTAGCCGCAAGTGTCTCCTTACCCCTCACCCCAACAACGAAGAACACACAAGCCGCCCCTAAAGCTAAATGGAGCTTGGATTGCTTTAGGAAAAGACCTCCTCAGAAAGTAGGCTAAGGATCCCAAACCCTATAAACGCCAAACCCAAGACTAAACCCTCAACTTTTTTTTGTTGGGGTAGGGGGGGGGGGGGGGGGGGGGGAGGGGCTGTTGAAAGCATTCTCTTCTGTGGTTGCTGCAGGCATTCGAGGTTCGGGATTCGGGTTTAAGGTTTCGGGTGCGACAGGAGCCAACACCCTAAACCCGAAGCCGCAAACTCTCAGCCCCAAGCCCCGCGGGTTCCTAGCCCTAAACCCTATAAGCCCTAACCCTAAACCCTAAACCCGAAACCAGGAAGCTTTACCAAAACGAGCTAATTTCAGGTTGAGCTACACCTGCGTCGATGGGCTGATCAATTCTGCCTTTCAGCCGCAGTCAGATCCGGCCTTCAGGTTAGTGGGGGGCGTGAGCAATTCCAAACCCTAAGACCTAACAATCCCAAACCCTAAACCTTGATTAAACCCAAAACCCTAAACCCTAAACCCTAAACCCTAAACCCTAAACCCTAAACCCTAAACCCTAAACCCTAAACCCTAAACCCTAACCCTAAACCCTAAACCCTAAACCCCAAACCCTAAACCCTAAACCCTCCACACCACATCCCCTAAAAATCCCAGGCCCAAAAACTCCGAAACAAGACTATTTCCCGTGTTTGGGAGGTTCGAAGGGATCTACAGGTGCTCTCTTAATGGCGCGCGAAGCAGGTGGCCCAGAGTCTTTCCACGTCTAAGCCAAGCCTCCAACACCGAATCCACCCTGAACCCTAAACGCAAGACCCTCAACCATCCTATATAAACGTTTAGGGTTTAGGGTTTAGGGTTTAGGGTTTAGGGTTTAGGGTTTTACCCTAAACCCTAAACGCCCAACAGGCCTACGAGCCCTAAACCCTGGCCTACTGGGCATTGCTCCCGGGTTTGAGGCTACCCCCTTTGGGGTTTCGGGTTTCGGGTTTAGGGCTAGAAACCTGAAAACTCTGAACC